TACACTATGAAATACACTATAATGACACTTGTCTAGCTAGTCGTACACAATGACTAGTCATACCTTTTTCTATAAATGTACCTATCCATATTTTTGACCGGAGAAACTCTATTAATGATTTACATTATATTAATATTTAGAATATACTGCGTATTTTATTAATATTTCATTCGTCCTCTATATATCCCACTTAACATTTTTTGTTTGTCTCATTAAGTTTATCGCATACCATATTAAGTAATATTTAGACTATTACAATTAATTATTACTTTATTCACATTTTTTCATTTTAATAATGCGCGCACAATCTCATTTTTTTTAATAGTTGCGTTATTCTCTCTTAGTCGAAATCATATAATCACATTTTATCACCTAAAATATACTACGTACCAAAAGTAGCTGATTTAAAATAGTTTGACAAAAAAATGGTTGATAAGTCGAAATCATATCTTACCGAAATATTTATATTAATTAGCCGTGCACTATTCATATTTCTTAATATTTATATCAAAATATAATATAATATGTTTTTAAGTACCTAATTCGATTTTGTCATATCAAATGGGCTTTAATGCAGTATTTTTTCTAATTGCTAATAACCTTTGTGTATAATCATTATTTCATTATTTTTCTCTTTTTACTCGGTACTTGTATTTGCAATATAATTGTTTTATGTATATTTCATATTTCAATTAATTTACAGACATAGTTAATATATATTTCATACAATTAAAATTTATTCTGTTGAAAACTCAAATGAGCAATTTTAGCATTTTTAAAAGTTGCTATCTCCCTTACATTAGTTCACTAGGAAGGGGGTGATAAGGTGATTGCCTTCCTATGAGGGGTTTTTAAAGTTTTTTGTACCAAAATAAACAAGGACGTTATATATGCCATTTGGTAACAATTTTAGGGGTATTTTTGTCCCCTTTCCCTCCCTTTTCGAAAAGTTGTTCTGGAAGGGGTACTATCAAAGTAAATGGGAACAAATCTGATCCAACAAATCCTATATTTTTAAGGAAAAATTCACATAAACAATCTGAACTATTTGGGTTTTCTAATATTAATCCTAGCTACATATACACAATTCTGAAATAATCTCAAATTTACGAGAGATCTTCCTATATTGATTCATGTTACCCGGAACCTATTAAATAGGTAAAAAAGTAAAAAGAAAATTGAAAAAAGATGCACAACCATGCTTCCTCGTCGTCTCTCACGCTGCTTCATCGTCATTGGACTTTCTTTACTGCTCGTGATCCCTCCTGTCTCAAACAATCAGATTTCTCCTTTCTGTTATATTTCACTTTTTTTTCTCTCCCTCCACCTTTTATGGAAATCTCCCTCTGCCTTCCTTTTGTTCTGAATTTGCACCTCAAATTCGCAGTTCATGCTTTCAATTTCAGATTTTAAGGTTTAATTTGGTCAATCCACCTCAAAATGTAACATTATTCATAGCAGTCGATGATGAAACTTATATGATTGGGTGATTGACGAATCATGAGACGTTGGAGACCAGACCAGCTGGGATGGATGTGGTACGTCATTAAAGAACAAGAGGGATTGACGGTGCATCGACCATAAAGATGGACGGGCAAACGGACAGCCGGCGTTGAAGAGCCACTGCAACGAACGATCGATCATCAAAGATTTACAGCCGGTGACTGACCTAAGTGACGATGGTTGAACAAGGATCGGCCGGCGTTTCGCCTGAAAAGCTCGTATGCCCGCCCGAACCTCAGTGAGAAGAAAGATGAAGGGGCAAAAAAGAAAAAGAAAAAATAGAATAAAATGTAAAATTGTAAACCAATAAAAATAGATCATGTGTCCGGGTGACCTTCTGAATTGCTTTATGTAGGTCACCGGCTTATTTTGAGAAGGTACCCACAATAATTTAGATTATACTGGAATTATTGATAATTGGGATTAATATAAGAAGATCACTGATAGTTCAGATTATTTATGTGAATTTTTTCTATTATTAAGGGGTTTGTATTTTAATAGGAATTTTTAAAAAATATTACTAAAATAACACTTATTTACACAAATATGACTTTTAGTTACTACAATGTAGTGTTATAATAACTTAAGTTCAAAAAATTAAACATAAGTTACTATGATTTCATTACTATTCTAGTCAATAGTCACATTTTTGTAGGAGTCTTTATTTTAGTTATAAATATTTAATTATTTCATTTTAATATTTTGTCATCTTGTGTAATTACTAATTACGTGAAAGAGTGGTTGATTGGGCCACTTATCTCTTTGTCTTCACTTTATTTTCCAGCAAACGTATTAATAGCTGTTTATTACACACACAAAAATACGTAGTAGCTGTTTATTTCACTTTTTTTATAGCTGTTTATTACACGGAGATACTCCATCCGTCTCCTTTTAAATGTTCCGGAAGAGGGTGACACGAGTTTTAAGAAAAATGGGTTTGTGTGATTGATATTAATTGATAAAATTAAAATAAAGTAAGAATAAAGTAAGAATGATTTTGAGTCACACAAACTTTACCAAATAAGGTATGAGACAATTAAATAGGGACATCCCGATATGGTAAAATGGGACATTTAAAAGGGGACGGAGGGAGTAGAGGTCAATAAACCCAACTGTAGTACGATTGTACGAATATATCCTGATGTGACATTACTTTCGTTCCATAACATTGCGTTCAGAGACGGGGGCAAGACGCTGGGTCGGACTGGTTTAGTACTAAAATATTTATGAAAAAAAATTACATGAAATTTTTTACACTAGGAATATATATATTTTACGTTGTTAAAAGATGGAACTTGGAAAAAAGGTTCAAATTTTATTGTTGCACATGCATTTTCTCAGGATCGGCGCTGCGGGACAGAGGGAATACTCTACTGTTTTTCACTTTTTGTAAGGAAATACTCCATGCGTCCCGGAAACAAGTTCTCACTTTCCTTATTTGGATGTCTCAAAATAAACTTCCCATTTCCTTATTTGGCAAATTATCTACGTCAAAACAGTGTCAAACAGTGCAAAACGGGGTCAAACAGTGTCGAAATAGTGCCAAACAGTGTCGAAACGGTGTCAAAGCAGTAAAATTTACCCTCAGTAATTTTATTTCCTTAAAATGTGTGAAAATCAACCAGTGTCGAAACAATGTCAAAACTTATGGGGTGATAACTTTACCAAACAGTGTCGAAACGGTGTCAAAACAGTGTCGAAATAGTGCCAAACAGGAAATTTGTTTTCGGGACGGAGGTAGTATGTTGCGTTGCTCGTTCAGGACTTATGGTTAATGGCCAATGGCATTTATGCTAGAAAAATTATATTTATACACACTTTCTTACACATGTACTTCTTATATACACTTCAGTGAAAAGATTACTTTTTGTCTGTGAATTCCGTTCATATACATAACATATTTGTGAATATGTTCATAGGCATGTTTTGTCTACGAACGAGATTCAGTGATAAAAAATAATAGTAGGATAATGGTCAAATTGGACATTATGGTTACACGTCAATATTATACTCCCTCTGTCCCTAAATGTTGTTCCATCCCGCTTTTCGAGAGTCAACTTAAATCACTCTTAAACTCTTACTTTTTGTATCAAAACTTTATGAAAATTGATTTTTTTTTTTCGCAGGCTTTGTAGCGGGTTTAATGTAGTTTCTGAATATGTAAATTTTATTTACTAAAAATAATCCAAGTTTTCACAGGGATCATTTAACTTTATCGTCGGTCAACCTTCGTAATCCGCAATTGGAACAACATTCAGGGACGGAGGGAGTAATAGACAAGTTTCAAATGAACCAAACTGGACACTATGATCCCATGCGTATCACATATTGGACACTAAAATTTCAAACAGATTGAATTTAACATTTTTCTAATATTTTTTGGACACCCCACCAAAAGAATTTTCACATTTGAAAGCAATAAGTATTCCTTTCTCCTTTGTTTTATTTACCTAAAAAAAACAAAAAACTTAATTCGTGCGTTTAGATTTAAAACATATAATTAGATGTTCCAATTACGAAAATATATTACTACTATAATGTAATTGAATTCTTGTATTGTTTTTTTTAAATTAAATAACTAATTTATTATTAAGCGATAGCAAAAATACAAGAGAATGAATAGTTTGAGGCTACAATGAGATGAGACATAGAACGGAACAGGTTCAATGTATCCTTCCAGATCTCTAACCCCGCAATAATGTAGTCTAGTCTAACAGCCTTGCTGATCTTCTTGCTACTCCAAAGAAAGATTAAAAAATTACAACTAAAAGATCTGGCTTCACCAGCCACCGGAAAGGGAGAATTGGTTTGACCAGCAACCAACAAAGGGAAACCAGTCGAGTAGAAATTTCTTGAAGCATCGGTTTGACCAGCCACCGCAAAGGAGATCCACTTGATCATCTTCTTCTTCTTCCTAGAGTGAGGCGATGGTTCAGATGGTGGGCGAGTATTTGAAACATCCGAACAACAAGGTTGAAAAAGCTTCACCGGATCGATTACACCGATTAGAAACGCACAACCTCTAGACATTGCTAGGAGAATAACATACCACACGCTCACATGAAGCGGACAAAATTCTCAGCCAATGAAGAAGCCAGACCAAATTCCTTGAAAATAGAAATTGAAAAAGTGCGAAAGCATAGAAAAACCTTTGATTCGATCTTTCATTGCATAGAGAATGTCTTCATCTTCCAAAATCGGATCTTGAAGGGGGTTGGGGATGGCCGTCTAGGGTTTCCCCTAGGGTCGGCTCTCTATCGCGCAAGGGACTCTAGGAAATAAATTGTTTTGGTCACACTGGAGTGTTAGATTCAGCAAAATATCAGACCGCCCCTGAATTCTTGTATTGTTAAAATCAATTTAATAAATCGATGTTTCTCAAAGCTTCATAAAAAATAGGTAAAATTCATAAGAATAAGGCAAATTCTATGGTACCCATAAGGTACGATAAGGTAATATTAGACCCATAATATTAGATATGGATTTGTATTGTGTTGATGGAAATATTACATATTTTAAACCTTCTGGTTGCTTATTTAAACACCAATCTAATCATTTTCCTGATATTATTAAGCACCAAAAAATGGGAGATTCATTGGATACAAATATACTTCACGACTTTTCCCCCTTAATGATAGTGTACAAGGATGGTCGAGTTGAAAGGTTGGAAGGCGAAGATGTCGTCCCTCCTGGCCCGGATGCCGAAACCGGAGTCAGATGCAAAGACCTCGAGATTTCATCGGACCCCAAAGTTTCCGTCAGGATTTTCCTCCCCAAGACTGCCAGTCCGGGCCGGAAACTTCCACTTTTGGTGTACTTCCACGGCGGAGGATTCATCGTCGAATCTGCTTTCTCTCCGACTTACCAGAAGCATCTCTGCTTAGTCTCGGCCGAAGCCAACGCCGTGATCGTTTCCGTCGATTACAGACTGGCCCCGGAGCACCCGATTCCGGCGGCATTCGACGACTCGTGGCTAGCTCTGAAGTGGGTTGCGTCCCATTCCTCTGCCGGCGGCGGTGAGGAGTGGCTGACGGAGCACGCAGACTTCGGGCGCGTGTTCTTCGGCGGCGACAGCGCGGGTGGAACCATAGCCCACCGAATGGCGATTCGGGTCGGGTTGGAGGGACTGGATGGAATCAATCTTGACGGGCTCTTCCTCAACTGCCCGTTTTTCTGGGGAAAGGATCCGATTGGTGAAGAAGGGGATGAGGTGGGGCCCGTACGTTCGTATCTTGAGAGTCTATGGCTGTTCGTGAACCCGACAACAACCGGGCCGGACGACCCGCTTTTGAACCCGATGATGGACCCTGAATTCAGGAAGCTGGGGTGCAAGAAAATGCTGGTTTACGTGGCAGAGAAGGACCCGCTTAGGCAGAGGGGGCGGCACTACAAGGAGGCGTTGGGCAAAATTGGGTGGTGCGGGGCGGCGGAGCTGGTGGAAGCTAAGGGGGAGGACCACGTATTCAATGTGATGTCTCCCACCTCTGATAATTCCATGGCTATGGTAAAAAAGTTAGCCGCTTTCTTCAACCCCTAAGTTGCTTTGAATACTATCTTAGGATACTCAGATTTAGGATGTTATCCGGGTATCAGAATAAGCTATGTTGCATTGAAAGTTGAAACTCACAAAATCAAGAGGAAAAGGGAAACTGAACACTTCAACTTTTGCTTAAAAATGTTTGTTTGGAGAGTTTCCGAAATGGAAACTTATTCTTTCAGAGAGTTTTCGTGCTACATAGAGAATAAATGTTTCATTCTCCCTTTTGAATAAATGTTTTACTTCCATTTCATAAAATGAATCTACCCCAAAAGCAGCTATAATATATAAATTCTACGTTTTGAAGAATTTGTGATCTGATCTATTATCATTTGTCACATGTGAAAGATTTTCTTTTTGATGGGTCTGTGTTTGTGTTGTTAATATCATTACTATTACTCCCTCCGTATCATATATATCTTCCCACTTCTAAAGTGGGTGAGATTAAGAATAGTGAAAGAATATATAAATTATTGAGGGTATGATGGGAAGATGGTGAAATAATGTGATGGAATGAAGGATAAATCCAAAAAAAGTAGGTGTAATAGTGTATTATTTTTTAAATTATTGAGGGTATTTCGGGAAGATTTAGAAATGGGAAGATATAAATGTTACGTCCAAAAAAGGAAAGTGGGAAGATATAAATGTTACGGAGGGAGTATTATAGTAATAATAGTGATAGCCAAGTTGATTCTTCTTATCACAAGTGTTGACTAATTGGTATGCATGATTGATTGTTGTATCAAACTAGTTTTTTACTCATGCGAGGTATGATGTGAGGTTTTTTATAAATTGGGAAAGGTGAAAATATTACTCTCTTGGTCGCATAATTAATTGTAAACAATGTGAATTGAAAATTAACATGCAGGTGTATGGTCTAAAGTTGTGTTAATAGATTCTTTGCTATATAACAAAGATATATGTTCCAAATTGTAATTAAAGAGATTGCAAGGAATCCAAAAGGGAGTTTTCCACCCTTTTCTTAGAAATTTGAAAAGGTCAATGTTATTAAGAGTTTTTTATCCGTTATTAGAGTAAATTAAGTTGGATTTGTATGCATAGATGAAAGAGATCTCATCAATCAATATCACATAGGTACATCTATCTCAGGAATGCTAGTTTTTGAATTCCCAAAATCATATACCGTACGGAGTATATAACTTTTGGTCCAACTGTCCAAGGTATGCATTTTATCTTTGACATGTTATATTTCATACAAAATGTATTTCATTTAAAATACACATAACGACAACATACATTATAAAAGCAGTTATGTTAATAAGTTCCAAGTTACACTTAAAACAAAAAATATTTTTAAACTATGGTTGTGTCTACGATTTTATGGCTAAAGAGTCAAATAGGTTTCTCTACTCATCCAAAATGTCCGGCCAATAAATTGCCATTTAAATTAAAAAAAGCCTTCATTGACTCTTAAACTTGATAAAATGATCACTTTTTAAAGGTAACAGTCCGGTCGATTATTCAAAAATAAGTCCCTGAATCCGAATAAATTGTTCAATTCTCCCTTTCAATCGTTAAAAAGTAGAGGTTTTCTAAAATACAACTAAAACACTATAATACTCATGGTAAAAAATTTGACTTAGTAACTTTTAGTTACCATAATTATATTCAACCACTTTTTAAATTATGCCAAACTAAAAGAAGACGTGTGAAATGGAACGGAGGTAGTAACTCACTTTATCGATAATTAATTGATTGTAAAAATAACTTGTCTGAGTTATATCTATCACACAAACTTTGTTTTTGTAAACTTTGTTTTTGTAAACTCTTTTGTTCATCAATCTAATCGTAATCTTTTCCTTCAATAAATCAAATTCTCCACCAATTCATACATATTTACTCAGTCAATTTACTTGATTACGTCAAAACATCGGTTTGATGTTTGAATCCGTAGCTCTAATGTCAACAGTGTGGTTGAAGAGAATTCGTGTGTTTCTGCTGCTGCTAGCGTTGTCACAGACAAACCTGTCCGCCCCATCTCCTCCAGGGAGACTATGGTGATGATTTAGAGCCCGGGTAAAGGAGTGAGTGTTGAACAGATTGAAGATATGCGGTTCATGAATCAACCCTATCATGAAAACAACATCTCACGGGTACTGCAGGATGGCTCGTGGTCCTATGACCAAAACTTAGTAATTATTAGAAGGGGGAAATCCAAGGAAAGACCTCTTGAGGTAGAGTTGGATCACATGCAGTTCGAGTTCAGATGCATAATTTACCCCTAAGTTTTATGACTAAGACAATGATGACTAGTATTGGTCGATATATAGGGAAATTGACACAGATTGATGAATGAACCATGAGTGGAGATAGTAAGGAGTATATATGTATCCGTGTGTTGCTTGATATCAAGAATGCACTAAAAAATTAAAGAAGAACACAGGTCAGGGAAGACGGGGAGAGCTGGTTCTTGGCGTATTTCAAATACAAGAGAGACGTCTAAATCTCTGCTTTATATGTGGACGTCTTGGCCACACTGACGGATATAAGTGGCTAATTTCACGTGCAGGGCGTGAGCTGGCCGGATTAAGTTCATATTCTTATTAAGTTCATTTCATTAGATTAAAAGTACTTACACTTGCTCTTATGTGTGTGGCCGGCGTAATGTCTAAACTCTACGAAAAATATATTTGTACACTTTTTTGTATACACTATTTGACCCACGTATATTAGGAGCTATTGTTTTGTTGTGAATAGCTTATTCATAGAAAAAAATATAACTACTCACAAAAGTGTAGGATGGTGTATATAAAAAAATATAACCACTCACAAAAGTGTAGGATGGTGTATATAAATAATGTGTATAAGAAGAATTTTTGAAACTCGATCTCAAGTGTTGGTTGAATTAAATACCCAATGCATAAACAATAAACCAAGCCAATTTTTTTGAAAGGAAACCAAACCAGTTTTTAATATATATATAGTACGTACGTTCCATCGCCAACCCATGTTTCTTCATGGTTTCGAATTCACTACTACTATGGATCTATGTTGTAAGACCCAAACCGGACCGGCCGGTCGGACCCAGAAGCCGCCCATCCGGTCCGGCTGGGCATCGAACAACAAATGTGCTGAAAACAGGATTTAACCGGCGACCCGCCCAGGGCCGGGACAGACCCGAACCGCTCCAAACCCGGGAAATGCCAAAACACCGGGTAAAGAAGTTGGCCGCGGGGATTGAACTCACGTCAACAGGAGCATTTCGGTGAGTCCAACCAATGAGCTAGGTACGCGGATGTTAATATCGGATGCTTAGCTATCCTTATACCTTTCGAATGTGTACCATTTAATTGAGCTTTAATTAGTCTGTTAAATAATTATTTTATGATAAAAATTATACTACGTAATACATACAAACCAATGCTATTTATACTTCCTCAATCCACCATTAAGTATGTCATCTTTATTTTTTATTTTTTCTTATTTTGTATTGGCCGGTAATATTCATATTTAAATTATTTTATACACAAATGTATTTTAAATTTTGTTAAAACTAATATACTTTAATAAAATATAGTTTTTTTTTACATAATTACATTCTATTCTCAATATTAAATTAAGAAATGATATACATTTTCAATTTAATTATATATATAAATATGTTTATTCGTGTTGACCGGGTTTAGCGGTTGTTGACCGGGTTTATGGGATTGAACTTACCGATGGCATCACCCAATCATTTTTCTTTTTTCCGGAAGAATACGTTGTAATGCCTCATGCCTATGAGGTAGATTGTTTTATAACTTTATTGCACAGTCCTATCCGACGCATGAGGATAAGAGAAGGTGCCACCATTGTTTAAAAAAAATGGGTTTATTTATGTGATTTATATTAGATTGATAAAGTACCTAAAAATAAAATAAGAATATTTCAGAGTCATACAAGTTTTATTAAATTTGATATAAAACAATATTAGTGAGATTTTTTCTAAAGGTAGAATGAAACAGTTTTAACGAGGCCAGAAAATATATCATAGAAGGCTTATATTAAAGTGAAAATTCTTTAACTAAGACTAAAATAAAAATAAATTACAAACTATGGCAATGTATCATTTATTTATACTCCAGTACTCCACTCTACTCCGTATTATTTACTCCGTATCTCATTGTACAACACACGTAGTAATAGATACGGAATATTAAACTGCTCTCTGCCATTATATCTAGCCATCTAGGCTGGCCGGGGTAGGCAAATCACAAGGTTAAAGTTTTTTAACTTATTTAAATCATGTATAGTACAAGTATATAATTAAACACATATTCCGTACTTTTATTTAATAGAAATAAAAATTACCCTCAACACTTAGTCAACAGGATTAAAGTTTATTTAAAAATCACAAATAGAACTACTACCTTTTAGATTCTCTCCAAGACTTAACATTGATTTCTACCCTAAATATCCCCAAGGGTATGTTTGGTTCAAGGTGATATCTCATAGAGGGCGGAATCTGATACTCGGAATGTGAGATACCTGTGTTTGGTTTGCGGGTTTGATTTTTTGGGGGGGAATGTTACATTCCCAAAAGTGGAAAAGGTGATCACATGAATGGGTATGTGAAACCCACTAGAGCCTTAGGTTATTTTAGATTCCTGGTGGCTAATTAATTTTATTCCAAAAAACCCATGCTTCATTAATCTAATACAAGTTCTTAACTTCTGATATACCATTTCTCATTTTGTAATTTTAAAAATTATACCGTATTTTTTCATTATAGTTGTTTGAAATTATTTGAACAATTATACTAAAATTGTAAGCTACTATATTTGTTCACTGATCTTTGTCATTTGTGCAATTAAACATGTATAGCTTAAAATTATTTACTAATGCTCGCTAATCTTAGTCATTTGTGCAATTAAATATATTTTGCTTAGAATTTATTCAATTAGTTTTTATTTTAATTATTACTAAGATGTTTTATTTTTCTATAGTTTTAATTACTTTAATTATAGGTTGTAATAAGTTTAACGTGTTAAGAGACAAATATTTAAAGGGCATTCAAGTAATTCACCAAATATGCAATATATGATATCATTCAATTCAACCAAACAGTTTAATGTGACATTCCCTTAATCGTAACCAAACACAAATGAGATATACATTAATCACATTCCCATCTATCTAACATACCCAGTAATCTAACATTCCCATGGTAATCTGACATTTCTTGAACCAAACATACCCTAAGGGAATTATAATTCATAATAAAATCATAAAAAATAATAAAAAACAATAAAAAACAATATGTATTATAATATTTATAAATAAATTTTTTAAAAGATACGTATTTTTTTAAAAAAAATAATAGAAAATAGTAAAAACCAATAAAAAATATGAATACCTTTCCCATCACCTCCTAGCATCACCACCTCCGATCGGTGAAAATTCTGCCATTTTTTGTAAAAAAATATCTTTTTTCCTGAAAATGCCAAGAAAATGTCATTATTACTCTTTCTAATGCCAAAGTTTTCATTGAATCTGCCATTATTATGGAATTACTAAAAATGTTGGTAGATTTCAAACCGGTGATGGGAGATGGTGGTGCTGGGGTGACAGAGGCGGCAATATTTTGTTTCTTTACATTTTTTAATTTTTAATTTAATTTAATTTTTTTAATCTCTTAGTTTATAACATTATACTCCCTCTGTCCCGCAAAGAAGTTCCCGGTTTGACCTACATACATATTAAGGAAATAAACTTACCAGTGGGTAAATTGTACTGTTTTGACACCGTTTCAACTTTGTTTGACACTGTTTTGTACTGTTTGGCACTGTTTTGATGTAGATAACTTGCCATTTAAATAAAGGGGAACTTCTTTTTGGGACTGCTGAAAAAGGAAAGCGGGAACTTCTTTGCAGGACGGAGAGAGTATTATTTTTTAGGGAAAATGGAAACTAATAATCCAACCTTTTAGCGGTCTTCTTACAATAATCCAACCTTTTGGTTATTCATAAATAATCCAACCTTTGCATCTCATCTTCATTCACTGGTCCCTGACCGGTTGATGACCTGCTATTCCAAGCTATTTTCTTATCTTTTCAAATCATTATACCATAAATCTCATCTTTCACAAAGATAATATTTTGCAAAGATAAGAAAATAACTTGGAATAGTAGGTCATTAACCGACCAGGGACCAATGAATGAAGATGAGGTGCAAAGGTTGGATTATTCATGAATAATTAAAAGGTGGGATTATTGAAAGAAGACCGCTAAAAGGTTGGATTATTAGTTTCCATTTTCCCTATTTTTTATGATATTTATTATTTTTTACGATTTTTATTTTTTATGACTTTCAAAAAAATTATTTTTTGTGATTTATTATTAATTAAAACATTTCAAATGCTACAAAGGTATATTTTTTGAAACACACATAATTAAATAGTCATACCGAGGGAAATTTAAAAGATGTAGTCCTATTTGTGCTCTTTGGCCACTTTTTTGTCCTATTTAAATAAGAATTATTAGCTAGATTTATCTCCAAATATATCATCAAATTCACAAATCTATCTCATACTTTCACTTTTATTAAAAAGCTAGACATAAACTTTAACTTCTCTCACAATTATTTGTATATATATAATTGTAATATTAAGATGGGACCCTAGGACTAAGAAATTTAAGGCCACAGAAAAGCGTAAGAATATTTTCATGCAATCATTATTCTTAGGAAAATATTTTAATCCTTTGAGACCCTAAGAAACTCAAGTCCACAGAAAACGTAAAACATTTCTTCCACTTAATATATTTGATAATAATGCATGTTTATATGATGAAAACAGTTTATATTAATAAATTTATTCTTAATTATGAAATTTTATTGTCCCGGGTAGAATACTAGTTAGTTAAACATAAGAAGGAAATCATATTTCTATTTAATATTTTTTCACTTCTTTCTAGCTAGTTATAAGTTTAAAAACTTATATGGCTTATATCATTTTTTTAAAGGACTTATATCTTATTAGTATTGATGAAAATTTGCAATTTTGAAAAAAAAAAAAAAAAAGAATTATTGTTGAAAAAGATGAAGTTTGAATCTTTTTTTGATAAAAGTGAAAGAATATGATAGATTTGTGAATGATGATAATTTGGATTAAATAAGCTAATAATCCGTACTCATTACTTAAATATATTCCGTACAAACTTTAATAAATATGAATATAAACATATTTTTGTACTCGACTCCGTATAAGAACTCCACTTCCCCAATTCAATGCATGTATAGTAAGCCATTCATGTCGTAGCTAGTATTATTACTCTCAAGTCTCAACACAATGGAAGATGGCCATAAAGACTCTTCCGATATACTCTATAATCTTATCCCGCTTATTAAAATATACAAAGATGGCCGTGTGGAAAGGTTATGCGGCACTGACGTTGTCCCCGCCGGCTTTGATGCCGAAACCGGCGTACTATCCAAAGACGTCGAAATTTCGCCGGAGGTCAAACTCTCCACTAGGCTCTACCTGCCCAAAACTGCAGGCCGTCCCCGGAAACTTCCCCTTTTGCTCTACTTCCACGGGGGCGGTTTCGTCGTCGAGTCGGCCTTCTCACCCATGTACCAAAAGCCCCTTAACTTACTCTCCGCGGAGGCTAACGTCGTTGTAGCGTCCGTAAATTATCGGTTGGCACCGGAGCACCCTCTCCCTGCCGCTTACGAAGACGCGTGGGCGGCTCTGAAGTGGGCCGCCTCCCACTCTAGCGGCAGGGGAGATGGTTATGAGGAGTGGTTGACCGAGCACGTTGACTTTGACCGTGTGTTCCTAGGGGGTGACAGCGTTGGTGCAAACATAGCACACAATTTGGCTATTCGGGTCGGGTCGGGTGGAAATATGGATGGTGTTAACCTTGTCGGGCTTTTCTTCAACTGCCCGTTTTTCTGGGGCGAGGATAGAGTGGGTGATGAGGCTGAGCACACGCTGATATGCAACTTTGTGGAGAACACTTGGCGGGTGGCCCACCCAAAAGCGATGAGTTTGGATGACCCGAATATCAACCCGGCAAAAGACCCGGATCTAGGTAATTTGGGTTGTAAGAGAGTGATAGTTTATGTTGCGGAGAAGGATCCATCAAGGCATAGGGGGTGGTTGTATAAAGAGGCATTGGGTAGGATTGGGTGGGAAGGAGAGGTTGAGGTTGTGGAGGTTAAGGGGGAGCCTCATATCTTCAATTTGGTATCTCCAACGTGTGATAATGCCATGGCTATCCTTAGAAACTTGGCATCTTTCTTTCATCTATAGCCATGAAAGTTTCTTCATATATTAAGTGATGAATAACAGCCATAAGTGTATTTGGCTATGGCTATGGTGAGATTTGTTTTTAATATGGTGATATCATAATGTCAATCATATGTTAGTATAAAGCAATGAATAACAGTCACGTTGATGAGTATTGGGGAGGTTCTAAGTTGGTTAAAGGAGCAACATTCGAATTTTGTTGAAGTTGGATCGGATTATTTTGAGCAATCACTTTAGTAGCATTATGTTTTCTCATGTTAGGTGTTCTGCGAATACAATTGTTCATGTTCTAACTAGGGTGCATGACATGTTCTTTGGTTGAGTCATAGTATTTGGTGTTTTGATCCGCCTGATTTTATCATTCTGATACTTCATCATGATCTGATCAATGATAATTAAATTTACTCTGTTAAAAAAACAACCATAACTGTCTACATTTTAACATTTTTACATATATGATGACAAATATATTTATATGCTTGAGTATGTTGCATCTATCTTTAATGTACAATAAAATGCCTAGGCTATATATACACCCTATTACCCCAATAAGTGACGAATGAAACATGTCCGTTGCCGGTATTTGTAATTTATTTATAATAATAGTAATATTATACGGAGTATAATATGGTGATAATGGTAATTATAAAAATAAAGATAATTATAACGATAAATGTTATGACATTGTAATTATAGCTATATATAATTATAAATATAATTATAATTATTTTAATAATTATAATTGCAATATTATAATTTTAATTATTATGTTAATAATTATGATCAATATTAATACTAACATTAATATTAAGATTAAAACACACACATGTATGTATATTAACATGAACAATAATAATAGTAATAGTACGGACTACGGAGTAGTATATAATCCCTTATATAGTACGGCTCGCGGAGTAGTTTTTTGAAACGATAGTAGGTAAAGTGGTTGTAGTAGTTGTTGTAATAATAAAAATAAGGTGACAACTCCGGTACCTTTTAAAAAAATTGGGTACCATATCTATCGTTCATTTGATTGGACCACATCATTGTATCATTTTTAATTTAGATTTAAATAATTTAACTGCAACATTCTCATTGGTCAATGTGGACAAAGGTATGGTACTTTATGGGTACCATAGAATCTACCTAAAAATAATACTCCCTCTGTCCCCTTTTAAATGTCTCGTTTTACCATATTAGGATGTCCCTATTTAATTGTCTCATATCATATTTGGTAAAGTTTGTGTGACTCAAAATCATTTTTACTTTATTCTTACTTTATCAATTAATATCAACCACACAAACACACTTTTCTTAAAACTCGTGTCACTCTCTTCCGGGACATTTAAAAGGAGACGGAGAGAGTATTCATAATAATAATAATAATAATAATAATAATAATAATAATTCAATTAATAATAATAACAATAATAATAAAAGTAATACTAACAATATTTTAATAGTAATAAATAATAATTCCTCCATTCCACTCAACATTGCCTATTTTGATTTGAGTGTGAAATAAGGAAAAGTAGAAACTATGTGATTAAGAATTATGATGAGCTGGAAAAAACAAGGAGAACCACAAATTAACTGCTTACCTTAAAAGGAAAGTAATAAATTTTTAGGACATACGAAAATTTAAAGGTGACAAAGTCCAATGGAACAAATGGAGCATTGTCATTCAACTAGTTCAAAATATTCAAATTAGATTAGATCAAAATATTTATGATGAAAACCAGCAAATTAAGCCATTTTTGTGGAGCATATCATGATGAACAACACATCAGCATGAGATGTAAAACGTTCACAAATTGTAATCAAATATAATGAGGAATAGCACATGAAATTTCGATGGATAAGTTATTATTCACATTTACTACTTTTGCGACTTCTGTTCGAGCAATGCAACACCCGCAATGCCGAAATCTTGAAATGCTCACCTTAATCAGGCGGTTAAGCCTGAAGGTTCATAGCATTAATATTTCGAATTTGAACTCTTTAACAATTATTTTCTGCATCAATAAAGGCAGTTACACACATTGGGAGCGTTTGGACGTTTCTAAACTAACAATAATGATCTTCCCTAATGGTAATTCGATGATTGAAATATTGAATTGAACGGATGCAATGGATGATATAGCTTGAGCCCGGCCACTAAAAAAACAGTTAGATTTGTCATGGATTTTGTCACGGCTTCCTTTATCAATTTCCCTGATAAATAGTTTTGACACATATTTGATTTGTGACAAAATCCCTGACGCCACAAAATCTTTGTCAGGGAAAATCATTCGTGACAAAATTTTGTCACGACGTTGTCACTTGTAATAGACACACACCCATGTCGAATGTTCTCGCCGGCTGGCAAAATATTTTTTGTCACGGATATGTAAATATGTTGGCCAATTGAATTACGGAGTATGTAATAGGAGTAAAATATTCCAGTGTAAAAAATGAGTAATGTTCAGAATTCCTTACAAAGACTAATTATTTGTCATTAGACGAACAAAGTTGGGTTCAAGCTTGGCCATTGGACTCCCCCCCACAGATGTGGAATCATTGCGGTCACCAGACTCCGGACCTGTAGCAACGGCTGTGTGGATGGCTCCATCGGACTACCCAAGGTACGATTGGGGAATTTGGGGCAATTAAATATATTAAGAGTAGAAATGTAGAGCCCGTTTGGTGGCTCTTTTTTCGGCTTCTAGACTTATCGGTCAACTTTTTAACCAAACACATAACTCTTGATCTCGCACGCTGAATAGTGTAATAATAAGAAAAATAAGGCGTAAGTCACTTTTCTGGCTGTATTGGCTTACGTTACTGTAGATGACTATTTTTGCTATTTTTTCATATAATTTTTTCCTTTATTAATAAAATATATTTTAAATATAATTTTTTTCATAAATCAGCAAAATCAGTCAATACAGCCACTTCAGTCAGAACTTCAATTTTTTTGGGAAAATGGAAACTAATAATCCAACCTTTTAGCGGTCTTCTTTTAATAGTCCCACCTTTTCGTTATTCATGAATAATCTAACCTTTGCACCCTATCTTCATTCACTGGTCCCCGACCGGTTGACGACCTGTTATTCCAAGTTATTTTCTTATCTTTGCAAAATATTATCTTTGTGAAAAGTGGAATTTATGGTATAATAGTTTGCAGAGATAAGAAAATCACTCGGAATAGCAGGTCATCAACCGGTCGGAGACCAATGAATGAAGATGAGGTGCAAAGGTTGGATTATTCATGAATAACGAAAAGGTCGGACTATTAAAAGAAGACCGCTAAAAGGTTGGATTATTAATTTCCATTTTCCCAAATTTTTTTAGCTAAATCAGCCGATTCAGTCAATTTTAGTTTTACCAAATGTGCTAGTAATATTTAGTCCTATTTAAGAATTATTATGAATATAGAACATGAATTTTTATTTAGGAACTATAACCATGTTTTAAATCAAAATGCATATACGATAAAAAAAAATCAAAATGCATATATTGCATGTTCTATTAACAAATACGTAATTTTTTTATTGAAAAAACCAATAACAAGCTAATTAAAGAATCCAAGGTAATTACAATAGGTAGTACTCCGTATTTGTTTTTGTACGTTTTAAATTAGGAAAAAATAACATATGAACTTTGGAAACATATGTTAGACAACCATTGACCATCTAACTTCAACATTACTGGAACTATTGAACACGATTCAGAAAGGGGAAAGGAATCCATGATTGTTGCAAACGAAAAATGGAAGAAAGAGATGGAATGGTAGAAGACGGATGAAAACGAATAAGGAAGAAGGAGAAGCGTATAATTACCTTACGTAGAGGGGAATAAACATGGAAAACGGTTACCTTACCTTATGGAGTGGTCTCTTCATCGGCAAAAAAAGCGTAAACTTACTATCCGATTACTGCTTTCACGATTTACTGAGGAGGACAAAAATGGAACGTATTTTTTTCATTAAATTAACGCAGGATGGTAATCGATGGTATGCGATATCATTTTGGGTAAAAAATGATTGAACTCATAGACTGGGAAACACATAAACTTCTAGTCATATGGGGGGTCATTTTTTCTTTAAATTAACCATGATTAGTGCCTTAATGGTATTAATGAATTAATTAATTAATTGATTAGATGATTGCACTTATGCAACGGACGATAGGTTTCATATCATACACCTTCCTCTTCAATTCATTGAATATGAGGGTTTATGGATTGAGGGGAGTAATAATGTTTATACTCCGTATAAAGTACTCCATATATGCAGTTTCTGTTTTGTTTCAAGGGGAAAGATGGAGTCAACGCTGTCGTCTACCGAAAAAGAGAAACAGAAAATTTCTGATTACTCGAAGATGCCACCAGCTGATGAGATCGAGGAGTTCTTTTCTGCAACAGAAAAGTTTGTGCAGGACACATTTGCAGAAAAGTAAGTACCAAGGTTCCTCCCTCCATCTCCCATGAAGGTTTCATTTTTGGTTTTCGGACGTCTCATACAAACGTTTTAATTTCCTTTTTGTAAAAAACTAGATTCTCACCCGTGCGATGCACGGGGCAAAATATTATTCAATCATATAAAATTTTGTTTATATTAACGATGAGAAATAAAATCAAGATTGACAAAATTATAATGTACTCTGTAAAATCAAGAGTTATAGAATAATTTTCCCTCCGTCCCAAAGATACTTCTCACTTTGACTTGGCATAAATATTAAGCAAGTGAGAATAATGTGAAAATGTATGGTTGTGGTAGAGTAAGAAAAAAGTAAATAAATGTTAGCCACACAAAACTTTTCAAAAAAGGAAATGTGCAGACTTTTGGGGACATCCCAAAATGGTAAGTTTGAAAATTTTTATGCAACAGAGGGAGTATGTTACATACTCCGTAGTTAAGATTTTAAAGATATTATCATTTACAATGTTCCAAAAGCACATAAAATACAAACATTACAATGAGCAAACAAACTTAAAATTTTGAAACACTTGTTTGTAAACAATATTAGTAGTATGATCAATACGTTGATCAAACAATATTAGTAGTATGATCAATACGACAATATGTTGATCATTGTATTCACAAATCATTATTTTCAGAACTTTACTATATGATTTTCAAATCTTGAAAAAAGTGACAAAGACTAACTTGGCTCGTGTCTTATTGTCATTGTATAGAACGTCGTGATCGGGTATTGTCTTCTATCAAACTTGAAGTATTGGTGCATCTGACAGTGTAATCGTCAATCGTCCTTTAAGTACTTCTTGACTATCACATTTTCCACCAAAAATGTTGTTCCAGAATATGAATTCCAAATCAAGTGATTATCGAATGTTTGATCCAATTTTATTAATATTATAAAATTACAAATATTATAAATTATAAATAATATAAATAATTTAAATATTACAAATTATAGATTATCA